GAATACTCCATCTGATCGTAAAGCTGTCAATGGTACCACGTACGTATCGCGGGAGTGCTTTAATTTCACATATATTTTATTCACAATTCTTAAGAACGTCAAAGCAGCTACTCCCGGATATATTACACGATCACGTGCGTAATGTCTCCTCTTCTTTGACAATAAACTTACCGACGCTGATTGTGCGTGTATATTATCGTATTCCTTTTGGAGAAGAGCACAGAATATTAATTACATCGTGTATTAAAGTCAGTACAAATTATTAACGAATAATTTTAATAATTTTGGTATCTGAAATTCACAAGATCGATAGGTAGACGTTTAGTATTAATGCTCGCAATATTGATAAACTGCCACTGGGTCACAGCTTCTTCAACTATTTAAATATTTTAGAACATCTATAATATTATTGGAACGACTAATTTTTGAAATGTATTAAACATTCAAAATGCTTTCGAATTATATAAATTATTCTGTCGGATTAAATTTGAAGAACAGAAAATTAGTTCGTTTCAATTAATTCATCGCATCGTTGTCCGTATAGGATTTCAAAGAATTTTCGTAATGAAGACAGTTACTTTTTATTTAGTGTAAACACCGGTGGCATGTCTTTTGATGTCAGTCTTAAATAGACAAAGAATTTCCATCATTGTGGCGTATTTAGTCCCTTAATAGCCTTTAATAGAGGAACGAGCAGTTCACACGCGTGTTTAGATAACACTAATACGAAAAAAGTGTGGAGAATTCTGTTTGGTATCTTCAAACACATGTACTGGGTCACACGAGCACGTAATTTTCATGAAAATCATCGACAGAGCATAAGATCTTCCGCTAATCGTATCTACCTTAAATGTTTCATTATGCTAAATCATAAAGAATTCAAAAAATATTTTAAAAATGCACATCATCTTTGAATGTTTAAATTGAATGTTTTAGTTTTATCAGCTCAAATTTTATAAAATAGAGAATCCTAAGTATACAAAAGATTATGTCTTTGCGCGAATCTCCGTTATTTGTAAAATAATAGTAGAATAATAATAAAATTTGTGTAAAGTAATAATGAAATAATAATAAAATGTTTATAAAATAAAAATATAATTAGAGACTAGTGAAAAAAGCTATCGCCACTGTGCCATGCCTTTCATGCAACCAAACATATTTTGTAAATCATTTCTTTTCATTCAGTATTTGAAATCATGGAAACATTTGTAGGCAAAGATAATAGAGCACCCTGTATATTGCGTAGAGTATTTCTGCAATCAGCTCGTTATTCAATGTTGTTCTCACCACAGAACGATAATGATTATCAGCCTCTCTCTCTCACGCTGGGAACACTCGCATTCTATTCCTACTTTTCCTTTCCTCTTTTCACTTTGTCCCATTAATGTTTGGAACGAGTTACTCAGGGCGAGAATGAAAATTAATTTACCTCGGAAGACGGTCGTTCCTGGTATGAAGATTAAGATCGCCCATAGACGGGCGGATCTGTTTGTTGAATCAAATGATGTGACAGAGCCTAGGGAAAGTGTGGCAAATGAGGGACTTAATTACATTCTATAGTGTTTCAATGCCTGCTGTTAACTATCCAATAAGTATAATTCCAGTCACAAATTTGTTATTCTTATTCTGAGACACTTTCGTAGAATTTGGATACACCAACATAAAAACTATTAAAGGATATATCTATTAAAGAAACATTTTATATTGTTCAAAATACTAAATGAATTGTTTTCAACATTTGATTGAATAATCGTTTTTATCCCGGAAAATGGTTTTTATCACATTATTTGGAATTCTATTATTAAAAAAAGAAGTAAAGCACAAAGAAAAGTAATCTTTTGATCAGTAAAGTAAAATTTAAAACTAGAAGAAAATTAAGATTATAAATATAATAAAGGAATAAATTAAAGAATAATTTTCATACTTAGTTTGCTCAATTTCTTCTATCTGATTAATCCGAAACTCACTGTTTTTTAATACTTGCATTGGCGTTCTATATTTGAAAAAATTACGATGAAATGAATTCGATGACTTGATACCAGTATCGCATTACATTCTCGAAGGGAATTTACAATGAAGTCATCGTATTTACGGATTACAGGAGAAAATGTAGGCTCCTTGCATAATCTGACCTTTGCGTCTACTTTATTGTAACGCCTGGCTTCAATGCAACTTTCATTGCTCACAAAAGGTTGTGGAGCGAGAAAATGGCTGGGGTAAACGGACTCGGAATTTAATTCACAGAAAGCCTTAAACTATACTTTTGGTTGCCAAACGATTTCAGTAGTTCCATTAATTATCAATATAAACTCTATGGTACCATTTATTGTCTCTTCTTAGACATTGATATAATAGAAACATTGTCAACGAATTGCAAACTTCTTTTTGTACAATTATATCTGTATATTTACAGAGATTGAGGTCAAGTAGATATTTTATTTTTCCGTAAACCTGAACTGTGGAATTCAGTTTGAAAATTTCTTATGCGCTGTGTAATGAAATCAACCAAGTATACGAGTATACAGAACGAACGCAGAACAGATGCGCCTCGTATATGTTAAAAGAAAATACTAAAGTAAAATGAAGAAGAATTAATTATTTATTTGAAAAATAAATTTCAAATTTATTTCAAAAAATAAATAATTGCTGAAAACATTAATACTATTTTGGATTTCAAGTAATATATATATATATGTCAATATAGTATATAACTGACAAATCAAAAATATCTTAACGTCTAAACCATAATAGATAATAATTAAACAAATATCGACTTAATTCGATTATCTTTAAGATGTCTAGAACCCGTCCAATACCACTTGAATTCACTGACTTCTAATATTCTTAAATAGCAAACAATTACGAGGAACGAACTGCGTGCACGAGTATCCCAATAAACGCGCTCAATAAATCAGGCAACCGCTTTAGTGGCGCTTGATCTCAGAAAATCGCTTCGAGAGGAAGCCACTGGAGAGTGCGCATGTGAGTGAGTCAAAGGGTTAAATCATATCATAAATCTCGTAAACCGGTGCATTATTGCCGCGCCGCTAATAACCTATTTTAGTGTTTCGAACGACTCCCACGGAACAATGCGGACAACTCCGAGAACGTCGGTGATAAAGGGGGAAGCGCGGGGAAATAAAAGAAAATAGAAGAAAAATTCCAGGAGCCGCGTCGTAAAGCGTATTTCAGTCACGAAAGCGGCGGGCGCCATCCCACGTTCTTCTCTTTTTCTCAAGGTGTTGATGCTTGACACGTCCGTGAGACCGAATCTCGTATTTATACGGCCTATTCACGAAGTAGACATAATCGTGGAGTGGCTGCATAACGGTAAAAACAGATCGGCGTGCATTCACTTTTCCCCGTTCCGTGACTGCACACGCGGCGCGGCACTGAATGCATGCATGCAGCGCAGACGAAGATAGCCGCGGGCGCATGCAATACCTTTTAAACTCACGAGTCATTGATCCATCCAGCCGCGGTGTACAAATAACTCTAATGGAATTACCCTTTCCTTTCAGTATTACGCTTCGAGGACGGGGCCGATTTGCCCCCGATCCGCTCTCGATTTTCGGCCGAATAGGGCTCAATGAGAAAATGGAGGCAATGAACGGAACGTTCGTTTCCATACAGCCCCGCTATAAATACCGGGACGCAAAATAAACCGGGCAAAATATCCAGGACCAAACAATCGGATTAAATCGACAAGCAGAGGCGCTAAGCGGGAATTATAGAATTCTGGTTCCGTTTCGTTGTTTTCAAGGTTGAATATTCGCGCAAATTTTTCTTCGTGAGGATAGACTCGAGTATCTAGGAATCTAACGAGATCTTGTAACTCGTATTAAGAATTTTGTATTATTACGAATATAATCGAAATTTTTTAATGTTACATTTTTTCAGAATGAAGGTATCTTTATATATGTATGTTATTGAGTGCATTAGTTACAATCATTTTTTGAAGATAATTTTTACATGTGATATTAGAGAATTGGATATATTTTTCTAGTTAATAAAGAATATAAATGATTAAAATAATATTGCCAAAGGAAATTAGTGTAACAGGTAGGAGAAAATAGGAAAATATGGAAAGGTTATCAGAATTTGTAAATTATGAGGCATTGACTCTCATGAAGAGGAGTGACATACGTGACTTGACGAATACCATAATCGGTCAGAGACTCGTTAAGCAAGAGAGCGTACGAGCTCTCTTGTTAAGATTTATTACGGTAGAGTAACATCTGATACTAATAAACCACGGTCCACTGGGATTTTGTGTAACTTCCCACAGGAAACGCTAATTTGTTAAATAAGTTTCTGGAATGTCCAGATGGCATCTAAGCAAATGGCGTCTATTAAGACTGAAAAGTAGGCTACCGCCGCGGCCAAAGATGATTCAATGCTTGAGTGAAAGCCCTAACAACCGAAGCTGAATGCAAACGCTGTGACATGAAATACTTCCTTTCTCAATTTAAATTCCTCGAAGTACTTTGAACGCAACTTTAAAGTGTTTAACCAATTCAACTAGTTTAATGGAATTGAGTTCAAACGTACGTGGATTAGGGAGCATGGTTTCAAAAAATTCTATACCACTGGGCATAAAATGTATTGTTATTATATTGGCACAACTAGACCGCGGAATTTTATGCGACTGATAAGTTTCACCGATATTGAATAGAATACCATTTGCAGTATGAGTAGTTACAACGTCTAATAAATACACATAGAACGAACTTGTTTTAAACTGTACGCAAATCTTTATTTTTAAAGTTTTTTCCTTAATGTAATTCTAAGTAAAGTAGCTATACAGAGACATAATAGTAAATTTAAGAAGAACTTACACAAGCTAAAAATAGTTTTCATTAGAAAAATAAATAAAACTAGAGTAAAAACACGTTACCCTAGGAAACGAACAGATTCACTGTACGCTGTTACACTACCTTCGATCGTAGTCATCGCAGCATGTAATAATTACACGCGTGATGTACTTTTTCTGTTTTCAGACGTCTCCAATGTGTGAAGCCTCGAGAGGAAGGTGACGAGCAGGTTTCATCCGAGAATCTTCAAGATACCTCGAACGGATCCCGCAAGAAACCGTCTCCAATAAAACGAAAATGGTGGCGATAAGCCAGCGACGAAGGCATCCCCGATGGAGAATGCTATTCGCCGTCGTTGTTTTCTCGAGTTTCGTCAGGCGGTGCGAGTTAACGTCCACAAAGAGATTAACAGACGCCGGCTCCTCGTCCTCCTCGCCGTCCACGTTATCAAGAGGACCCGGTGAAACGAGGTCTCAAAACCCGGGTTCACCGAACGATCTAGCGTGGCAGGCTTGGCTCCTTGTAGATTCCCAGACAGGAGTGTACTCGGGTTTGGACTCAGCGAGCTTCCTTCGACGGATAACGCCGAAGAGCGTGTTCATCGCTCCAGAGTTATCAGCATTGTCGCCTTGCGCGGACGGCTATCAGGCAGACACGATGGGCAGGTGCGTGAAAAACGTGAACATCGATCAGGAGGCTCACTTCGTGTTCCTTCTTCAGCAATTAAACAACCGGTACGGCAATCGGGCAAGTGGTGGCGATACCTTCAACAACAATCAGAAAAAATCCAACGGACCTCTACAGTTGAACATCCCCTTGCTGCCAAGCACGAACTCTCAGTCGTTAAAAGTTGACCACGAGGAAACCAGAGATACCATAAAAGTCCCTGTAGTGATATCTCCACAGGAGACCAATCCAATAGAAAACAACCGTCCACCGGAACCTGTTGTAAGAACCAAGGATACGAACAACAGCATTAAGTTGAAGGACGAAGAATTCACGTTCTTCCCTGCTGAATCTAGCAATCCCTCTTTCGCCAAAGATCGCGAAGATGCTCCGTCGAAGTTTGAAGCTATAGTTCCCGTAGCGGAGTTTCCCGTCGATGATGCGAACGAGACCAATCCGATCGAAGACAAGCAGCCACCGGAACCTGTTATAAGAACCCAAGACACGAAGAATAACGCTAAGTTAAAGGACGAAGAGTTCGAATTCTTCCCCGCTGACTTTAGCATTCCCTCTTCCGAAAAGGACAGCGAGGACACTTCGTCAAAGTTCGATGATATAGATCCCATAACTGAGTTCCCTGTCGACGACGCGAATGAGACCAGTCCGATTGAAGATAGGCACCCACCAGAACCTGTCGTGAGAATCCAGGACACGAAGAACAGCACTAAGTTAAAAGACGAAGAATTTGAGTTCTTTCCTGCTGACTTTAGCATTACCTCTTCTGGCAAGGACCACGAGGACACTACGGTCCCCGTAGCAGAGTTCCCCATCGACGACGTGAACGAGACTAATCCGATTGAGGACAAGCAGCCACAGGAGGCGGAGCTTACCGTGAGAACCCAGGAAGACACGAATAACAGCACTAAGTTAAAGGACGAAGAGTTTGCGTTCTTCTTCGCTGACTTTAGGGTTCCCCCTTCCGGCAAGGATCGCGAGGACGCTCCGACAAAGTTTGATGATATAGTCCCCGTAGCAGAGTTCCCTGTCGACGACGCAAACGAGACCAACTTCTCCGAGGTGGTTGACTATAAGATTCCGATCGACATGAAAGTGATCAACATCAGCGACGTGCAAAGTGGTTTAAAGAATGGGTCGCAATTTTTGAACGCAACAGAAGCGTCGCCCATGTTGATCCTTCTCCCATCAGCAACGACGTCGCCTAACTTGGTGATCCCTGACATAGAGGACCCAGAACCTGACAACGACACGAATCACATGCCAACTGCTTGGGAGAGCAACGCGACAAAGAATGTTACCGATAAAGAGGTTGAAGCGGCCTGAAATGGTTGTGGAAGGTAGAAGGAATAGGAAAAGATTAGGAGAGAGGGAGAGAGCGTTTCGTCAGGGATCTACCAGTGGACTCATCAGTAAGGCTTTCTGGTAGACCCGTACTTTAGTCGCAGGGACGAGTATTGGAGGTTTACGGACGGTATATATACAAATCGGGAAGGACTTGAGCAGGATCGAGATAGGCTCTTAGATCTTCGTAGCCCTATATTGACAGAGTATAGAAAGGTGCCGCCACAAGTTCTTACATTCAAGCGTTAAATCTAAAAACGAGAAGTACAGTTCCATTAAAGAAAGAAAAAGCATTTCAGATTGTCGATCATATTAACCAAGGCCACACGAATTGAAAGAAAAAACACGCAACGCTTCTAAACACTCTTCCTCTACATCTCTCCAACCACTCGAGATTTTCTTGTCCGCAATCACACTTTCCCAAAACATATCGGCGCCATCCAGTCGCAAGACGACACTGTCCACACGTATAGACAGTCGACCATTCACATTCTACATGTATGTATAATTACATATGTATGCGTAACACGAATTTAGCAGAAAACATTGAAATTAGACCAAAGAAAACATTCTTTTACATCATTGATAGCTGCGGGCATATATTCGAAGAGCGTTGCTGGAAATCGTGTTTCTCCCTGCCACCATCTTGGAAACACGGTAATCCATAATTCGAAGGTACCAACGCGATTCTCATACATTTTTCCTTTCTCTCGCTCACGGCGGACTTAGCGTCCACTTTTCTCCATTTCTCAGTTCTCAAAATCGTTCATCGATCCTTCGCCAATCGTCGAGAAGCATCCGAAGGGATCACGGTCGACCACGATTCACACGATTCAATACGTGTGTCTCCGTCACCCCGTCGACCGTAAGTACGTATTGATCAGCCCGCCGCGCCGATCGGGTTCGAATCTCGGCTGGCACGCAAATCGCACGCAAGTCGGCTAGGGTTCACGACTCTTAATTTATTTGGCACAGTTCCACAGTCTTTGGACGTTCCCACTGAGAGCGGCGGGGCGTGCAAGACACGGAAGCCGACCTGTCGGCGACGCTCTGTCGTCTGCCGATCAGGCGTGCCCCGCAAGCTCGATGCCCCCCCAAAATTCTGAGGATCATCGAGCGGACAACAGTTTGCCGACAGTGGCTCTTTAAGAGGAAGAGACCTGCGGGTACCTGTTGTTCGTGTACGTTTGGCTGATCGCCGTCATGCTATTAGAGTCCCGGTCCCAAAAAGAAATCGAGATCGGCGGCTGCCTCTGCCACTATCTGCGCGTAGTCACTTGTTGGCTCGATGGCGCCTACTGCTGCCGGGTAGCCGTTTTCCAAGAGGACGGTCCCCGGTATAATAGCTTCTGATGGCCGAACACGCTGCTCTTCGTGCTGGAATGTAGTCCGTCGTCCAGTGGGTATTGGACTCTTTTCTTGTAATCCTACCTGTGTATGCTGTTCACTTCCTACGACGGGAATTTCACCAGTTTCTTCGGATACTCGAGGTGTCTGTTCTCTTGCGTCTGAAGCTTAGTGTTTGGAAGCTTAGCGAAGGTTCTGAAAGAACTCGAGACTTTTGGTTTATTTAAGAACGCAGGCTTTTTGTTGTCCAAAGTTGCTTTGTTCGCCGATCGTGTGAATCTCGGTGATAGGAACTTCTTCGCCAAAGCGTTCCCGAAATGCAGGGTTATATAAGAGAGACTCTGAAGATGAGGGTGCAGCCTCTAGTTCGTTACTTTTGGCGCACCTTTTCGCAGAATAGGTGTCGAGCGCACTTTTTTTTAGGTATTTATGTTGCCTTTGGGAAGGCGATAGTTTTCCCAAAGACTCAAATTTATTAATGCATCCAAATTTTTCTGGAACGTCTGGTCGAATGGTACTCGTGAAGGTACCGCAATATAATTTTACTTTTGCCGCGGGAGTTGGCTAGCGTATCTTTTTTTAATTTTAGGGAAGTGTTAGACAGCAAGAGACATTGAAGCTCTTTGTCTACTGTGCTTCTGCGATTTTTGTGATATCGACGCACGTTGCGTCGTGAACGTCTTCTACGCGTGATAGAGCGTCTGCTACGATATTATCTTTCTTGACGATATGTCGTATGTCTGTTGTAAATTGTGCTATGTAGTCTAAGTGTCTGAACTGTCGCGGAGTACATTTCTCTGACCACTGTTTAAAGGCGTAAACCAGAGGCTTATGGTCCGTGAATATAATAAATGACTGTCCCTCTAGTAGATGCTGGAATTTACGAACGGCAGTATATATAACTAATAATTCACGGTCATACGCGTTATATTTTCGTTGTGTGGATGAGAGGTTGACGTAACACTCCTTCTAATAACAATTGTTTAAACTTGTCTTTCACGATTTTTAATATGTTAGGAGCGAGTCTCTGTGGCTTGGCGAATACCGGAGATCCACTTGTAGTTTTGATACAGTGCGTTATACTATGTTTTATTCCGACATTCGTTTGCGACGGACGAGTTATATCTACAGAATTTTCGGTTCCTATTTGTCCGCGCACGGTTAAGTTTGTAGTATTATCTATGAGACGTTTACATTTATATCGATCAACAAGCCGTAGTACCGTAAAAAGTCGGTTTCGAGATATCCGCTATTATAAATTTCCACATGAAAACGCGATGCAACAGAAGGTACAGAACGATGTCACCACACGTCGAGATGGTCGACTCCTTTACCGCATACAATGTATAATTGTTTTTGCGCGGGCGCTCTTTTATTAATTATTGCGGATAGACATATCTATCGGCGCTTATATCTATAAGGTACTTTACCTTCGTCTCTCTTTCGCTTATAAATAGGCGGCTTGCTCTCTGCCGCATTTATGGTCGACCGACTTCGCTTCTCTAGTTGTTGTTGTAATTGCAGAGGGTCATATACCTCGTTGAACGTTCCTTGAATCGCCGATGGTACCAGCACACTCTCGATTCAGACGGGCTCCTAGACCTATTCCATTTCTTCCACCTTCTATGGGCTGGACTGCGTGATCTGCTTCGGTGGCGTATTTGGACGTTCGCGACGCTTTGTGCAAGTTCAGCGACTTGCTGCGTCAGACATGACATTTGGTCGCATAGTACGTCGAACCGAGAGTCAGGTGTATTTACCGCCGCGCACTGTCCGGTAGGATTGAACTCTTTAATCTTATCTGCGAGTTCGGCTATTTTTTCGAGCGGTGAGTCTATTCGTGTCGCCAATATGGACCGTGTCGACGAAGGAAGCCTGTTCAGCCATATTGTTATTAGAAATTCGTCCGGTACGGAGGAATGCCAATTTCCTGATGTGTCGCAGGAACTGCGATGGTGTCCGGTCTCCTTTTCTTCGCGCTCCAGTAACTGTATACGCTGCTCTTGCGACGTGGACAATCTTCTAATCAGCTCTTCCTCCAACCGGCCATATTTTCCTTTGTCGGGTGGGTTTTGCACCACGTCTTCTACCTCCTGCATGCACTTGAGGTTAAGGTATGACGTGACGTAATAAAATTTTATTGTGTTGGTCGTTACACCGTTCAGGGCAAATTGTCCTTCCAGCTGCTGAAACCACAGCACTGGATTGTAGTGCCAGAAGGGTGGTACACGGATTCCCACCTTGAATACGTCAGCTGAGAATGCGGTTTGTGGCTCCATTTTATCAGAGAGAAAGAAAAATAAGAGAAACTATAATTCACTCTTATTCACTTCGAATTTCACTATCAGGTCGGAGTCACCAATTGTAACGCGTTGGGTTACAAGGAGAATAAGTCGGTACTCTATAATTTTATATCACACTTTATTTTTACAAAATGCAAAACACAGGCAATACACAGCGCGAGAATACAAAAGTGGTGCACAGCTGCAGGTTACTGTAGCTTTTTACGGAATAGATGCCAAGCGCACTTTTTTCGGTGTTTATGTTGTCTTTGGGAAAGCGTTAGTTGTCCTGTGGCGGCACCTCCCCACACTCCGCCAATAGAGGGCTATGAGACCTAAGAGCCTTTCTCGCTCCTGCTCAGTCCTTACCTAATTTGTACATATACACTCTGTAAACCTTTAAAACTCGTTCTCGTGTGTAAGATACGGGTCTACCAGAAAGCCTTACTGATGAATCCACTGGTAGAACCCGGACGAAACGTTCTCTCCCTCTCTTCTTCTTTTTTCAGATTCCTCCCTCCTTCACAATCTTTTCAGGCCGCTTCATTCCCAAAAACTCGGGGGTGGAGTTTTCTTTCTGAGTTGCCGCCTTTCGTTGGCGGGGGAAAACTCCCTTGCTGCTGGCTTTTTTGGCCTGGTGGTGCTTGCGTGATTTTTGGGACTTGCCTCGGTTGCGCTGACCGCGCAGCCGGGTAGTTCCGTAGCGGTGCAGGGCTGGCGAGCGTTATTACAGTGAAAAACACACTTGGTCCATTCTGCGCGCGTCATAAAGAAATTTGGTATAATCTTTTTACTAGCAGGAACCAAAGGAAAGTGTTTAGCTTGTACTTTGACACCTCCAAGTAATTCGCTCGACCTTCCGAGCTGCAAGCCATGTACCGCTACAAACTCATGTAAACGAAATTCGGTACCTTTATTAGAGGCTTTCGTATGTCTAAGATGGTATTATGTTAATAAGGGAAAAGTCGAGACTATTTTAAGCGGAGAAAGTGATAAGCCAACGGACTAAAAAAGAATTACGTAATTTTGCTGTTAAAATTCGGCCGGCAAGTGGACACCGCGATGGGAGCTTTCTAAAGCCGAGTATGCGTAGGACGTTTCGAAATTACACACGTAAATCTAATGCATATGTTCGTGAGTCAACAACTGTTTAATGAACTAAGTGCATCGTTAAAATTTGTAATTATACGGATTAAAAAATACTGGATTGAATACGCTACTAAAAATGAAAACGAAAATAGTATATGAACGGAAATAGACATTTTACACGGTAATACTACATTAGGTGCAACATAAAATTTGAAAATTGAGAAGTTGATGATTCAAGTTTCGTTTCGATGAATTTTATATGATAGTTGAACCTGTATTACTCGGTGTAGAAAATGAGATTCAGTCCAGACGCCAGACGACAGTATCTGCGAATTTATTCCACGTTTTAAAATCAAGACGAAACGCGCGATAAACGTGGGTCTACAAATATTATCTTTTTAAATGTACTTGCGTTCATTCGACACTGGAGGCTGCGCGCCTCCGAATAAAATTTGTATATCCACGTTTGTAAAGACTTTTGTAACGCCTTTTTAATCCGAACACGTTCAACGAGGTCAATTAGTAGGAGGCGAACAATCGAATATAATTGAGATTCAAGATCTCAAACCACGAATTTTGTATATTTTTTAGAACACTGTGTAGCGTATTAAGGACTTTAGATACTTGAAGGAAGTGGGAGTTGCTAGAGCCATCAAGGTAAAAAAACGACTTCAGCGTTTTGTAGCTTTGAAAGGTATCACTTTCTCTATCCGTTGAACGCGTGTATAGTTTAGAGAAAAGTGCTCCAATGATTCTTGTTTGATTTAATAAATATCCGAATAACTCGCAAATCGAGCGACAAGACTCATTGTGGCAGGCCTCTTTCCTAGACGGTATCTACAGTTCCGAACATCGTTCCGATATAACAACGAAATGGTAAATACTCTGTCATTTAATGAGAAGCCAAATATTAGTTAAAGAAAGAACTTCCTCGAAAATCTCTATACTCGTAGGGTTCTTATTTTCTATGCATCACGATTCGAGCATCTCGTAGTGCATAACCAAAAACCGCTTTTCGACAGGATATCGCGTCTATTGTACACACGTGCAGAACATCGACGAATGGAGCCTCTGTTATGGAAACAAGCCGGAGGGAAAGACGATCGTGTATGGTTGCGCTTAATCATTTAGACCGTGAACAAAGCGTCCGCGCGATGAGTGTAAGCTATCGTACACCGAAAATCGTGGATCACTGCCTAACTTATTGAAGTCCGTGTTCGATCTGAAAGTAACCAATTTCACAGTTAATCCTGCGTCTTCGGTAGTAATAGTAATAAAAAAAATGAAATGATAAAGATTAAAGTGATTCTGTGCCAACATAACAAATCACTTTACGCATTCGTCGAATAGTCGAATTCGTTAGTTGGGATCGCGTGTCACGGTAATGTCCTCGATCGAGTATCAAGCGAGATCCCATTCGAAGTAATCTGTGTATTACGCTCGTACAACGCGAAATCTGGGTTCACGGACTCGCGAAAACGTACGTGTGACCCCGGTATATCGAATCAGACTGATTTTTAGCGGTATTGCTTTATTTATAGAATCCGAGCTCGCAATTCTGTCGTGTAAAGTCCCGAGAGGTATGCTGGTCTTCAAACGTATTTTTTTTCCTCATTGCTTTCTTTGGAGCGTCTCAATCGTAGATCGTAAAGAAAGAATGTTGTAAATTCGTTGTGTTTGGAAATCGTTTTTGAATTACGGACGTATATCCGTTATTGCGATACTTTTCAGTTAGATCTGTAAACCCGAAACTGTTTCTATAACCTTTTGTATTCGCTGATGCTACGAATGAGAGAAAAGTCAAAATTCGTGATACGTACAGTTTAGCACTACTCGAACGTTTCGATTCATTTCGAATGCATTTGTTTTTCACTTTGACGGTCGATTTTATTCGAAACTTCATTTTCACAAGCCAATTAAATTATTTCACAATCTGTAAATGTTAAGACTCCTACATGCTGTTAATTTATTTGAATTGCATTGTTATCGTAAAGATTGTCTGAC